AACCAAATTCCTCCAATTTGTTTCTCCCACCTGTAACCCACAGTTCTTCTGCACCTCCAATTCTATACCTAGATAGTAAAACTGTGTGTGGTATAAAATATACACAATAGGGGCTGGGGATGTAGCTCAGTGGTAAAGCATTTCCTGAGCATGTGTGAAACCCTAGGTTCAATACCCAGCACTGCCAAACAATAACAAAAAAGGAAACACAATAGTATTGGAATTTTTCTGCTTAATTGTGGTTGAAAATGGGGCTCTAAAATCTCATCACCGAGTAACTGATTTATTCAATAGTTCATTTCATACCCTGCAGGTAAGGTGTACAAAAAGTAAGGCACTGTCCTCCCACACACTTTTCACAATTATTTAATGTCATAGTACTGATGCAGTCCTGAAGGATGAAGAGAATAACACACTTTGTAGTTAATATTAACTTCTGTCATCTCACAATTTAATCATAGGACCTATCAATATCATGAAAATTTTTCCAATCTGCTAAATGACATCTGTTTTTGGTGATGGGAGTGGTTGTTGCAGCAGACATAGCTAGTATAAAAAAAAAAAAAAAGTCCTGATGCTAATTCAAGAGAAAAACACCATTTACATCAGAAAAACCCTGTCCCAAAAACCACAGAGAATGTCTTAAAAACATGCCCACACAAATTAATATTATATATATATGTATGTATGTATATATATATATATATATATATATATATATATATATATATATATATAAACACTGACATTTCAAGTTTCTTTTTAAGTCTTAATTTTTTAGCTAATTTAAATTTATTCTATTTTTCCAAAATTCTAGAAAAACTCAATTAGTTCTTAAAATTCTAAAAGATGTGATTTCCCTCCTGTTTTTTTTTTTTTTTTGTTGTTGTTGTTGTTGTTTTTAAGATAATGTCTCCTATGTTGCCCAGCCTGGTTTTCTGGTCTAAGTTCTGGTTAGGGGACAGACAGATGAGGATGGTGGAAACATGAGGTTAAGAGAATAATTCTATAAAATGGGCTCACTGTGCTGACCCCACATGCTTTCTTTGCCAAAAAGCAATTTGCCTGCAGCCCTGCCTGGCCTAAGTGGACAGGATATGTCACATTCCTCAATAAACTACCTGTTATCTGTAAAGAAATGTAAGCAGGAAATATTGTTGATAAAAAGAACCCAAGTTACTTTGAAGGGAAACTTTTGTGACCCTCTTCACAGATCAGATCCTAGAAGATAAGGATAGTTCCTCCAGACCATAAAACATGTAAAAATGATTAAGAGTCCAATTAAAACTACTCATCACAAGCCAGGGTATCATAGAGTTGTCATGCAACAGGCACTTGAAAGTCTGATGTCAACCTGCTATCAGTCAAAAGTCAAGAGGTGGACCTGGGCGGGACTCTCTGGAAACTTATCTGGGATCCCCAATAAAACTGGAGTCCAGGAGAGGCACATTGTTCCTCTCCTCTCTGAGAGGACCCACTCCCTCCCTTGAGAGTTTCCCCTTTACCTTTTCCTATCCCTTCAATAAACTCATTTCTGTTACTCTGAGTGGCATGTCTGAAATCTTTGTGACTACATTGTAAGAATTAGGGTTTGAAGGGTGGATCTTCATGCTGTCTCAGTTTTCTGGAAGGCCCCAGCTTCATAACATTCTGAGCTCAAGTGATTCTTTGCCTCAGCCTCCACAGTAGCTGGTACTACAAGAGTACATCACCATACCTTGATAGAAAATCAAAATTCTTCAAAAAAATGGTTATGTCCCTATAATTTATTTTCTACTGAACCTAGATCAGTGACACACCAACCTATATCAAACATGATTCTAATGTGTACACATGTATTCAAACTTAGGGACCAGTATTAGTTCCATGACTCTCTTGGTTAATGAAGATTGGAAATAGAGCTCATTCAAGTAAATGAGTAGGCACAATAGTCATAATCACAAGGTCCTCATCAAGGGCATTAATCTCCCTATTTTCTTATCCGATAATAAGGAAGAAGCCAAATAAAGGTAAACCAAATATCTACGTACTGACAAGCTTTCTATTTTCAATAAAACTTGTTTTACAGTGACTAAACCCAAAGCAGAATTTTAGTACTCGACTATTCACATCTGATTTTTGGAATGTTGCTTGAATTGGCAAATGATGTGATATGAAGAAAAAAAGTGACGCATGCAACTCCAAAATAAAAGAACTCCCTATATTAAACTTTGCCCACATAGATGATTTAGCTGTTTGCTTCTCCCTGAAAAGAAATGGCTGGAAGCATATGGTTCTCTCAAACACCATCTTGAAGAGGGGTAAGAAGGAAGAACATTCCAGAAGGAGAAAAGATTTAAAAAGCAAGGTAGCCTAGGGCAGAAACATCATCTGCTATAAATATTGCTAATTCTGTTTCTTCTACTTTCTGCTGAAAAGAATGCAGAGCATTAGATCCCATGCTACCATTCCAAGCCTTGTGAAAAATATAGTAGAAAAGGGACAGTTAAAAAAAAAGCAGGCAGTGCTAGGTGTGGCACACCCATAATCCCAGCTACTGTGGAGGTTGAGGCAGGAGGAGTAAAAGTTCAAGGCCAGGCTAAGCATTTTAGAAAGACCCTGTTTGGGGCTAAAGATGGAACTCAGTGGTCCTGCACTCCTGGGTTCAATCCCCTGTACTGTAATTAAAAAAAAAAAAAAAAGGCTGTAAGATAAAAAATAAAGCTTGACTTAGACAAACTTGGCCTTGACAGGAACCTCCTTTCACCCTCACTGCCCCATTCTGGAAAACAGCCCTGACCTTTTCACAGTCTTTTAAAGGGGAAAAATACAAGGAAATAATGGGGAGGAGGAGGAACAGAACAAGCTGTAAGAAACACATTATTCTCACTGCTTCACTCCCATAACCTCCACCAGTTTGGGCAACATTGACCCTCAAAGTCTGCCCCCACTTCCTTGCCCTCATCATCAGAGCCAGCTAATTCTAAAATCATTTAACTTTCCTGGGTATGTAACTTACTCCACTACTGCAAAACTTGAATACCGAATATATGCAAAGGCATTCTTTTATATTATTTTTCAAAACAAATAACCTTAATACTTGATTTTATCAATTTTACATTCATGTTAGTTACATCATGGTTAAACAGGCTTCTGTGAGTCAGTCTAAGAAACTACAATGACCATTGATAACCCTAGATCCATTGGTTCTGATCCAAGTTCCATCACTGGCTCCAAAGGAGTAGTCCAGGTCTGACTAGGCCTTTCCCTGATTAGGAAAGGTTTTGTGACCTTCAAATCAGTCTTTTTCTCTCTGAGCCTCAGTTTCTTCATTTTTGCAATAAAAACTTGGAATAGTTGTAAAAAATTTACTGCCATTTTGTGTTATGTGGATGTTCTGAAAGAGTATTAGAGCATCTTTGTTTCCACAGACTATAACTTTCTTTTAGATAAGAATCATGTTTTATACATTCCTTGTATTTGGTAGAGACTCAGTAGATCTAGATTGATTTAAGTGGGTAGGAAGGGAAAATATGCAAGACACTAAAATGTGGATGGATTTGATCAAACTCACATAGTAAACTTGGATCAGAAATAAGAACTAGACTACTTACTTCCAGTATTTTCTACAGCTGAACCCTCTCAAGTCCCTTTTACACATTCACCCAGTCCTTTGTATGCCTATCTCAAATATCCTCAGTTATTAAAAGTTGAGGCTTATATCTAAAAGCTCTTCAAATCCCCCACAACGTTTGATGTAACACTTAAGTACTTTCGTGGGAGAATTCTCCAGAACACTGCCTTCCAATAAAACCAGTTAGAAGATGCACCCTCTGAATAAAATTTGTATAAACAAGCTCATTTTAAGCCTTGCTCTAACCCCATACTGAGGAAGCAAACGAAGGATTATGTTACATGAAGGAATCTTCCAGATTTTAAGTTTTATACATTTTGGCAGGGCCTAAAGCGCTCAGGCAAAGAGTTCATAAAGGAGGGGGGGGGTAGTTTTTACAGCACTCCGCTAAAAAATGGGGGAGGTGGAAGGGAAAATAACTATTAAGACAGGTTAAAAATTGGGAAAAAGAAGGTTCGAGCTTCAAAAGTGCCACCTTTCAAAGGTCCATGGATTGATTTTTGAGCCACCGAAAATTCACTCTATAGCGTACCGGAAATGGAATGGGTTAAACTTTTGCAGATGGATGGAAACAGGGAGCATCTAAAAATCAAGGGTGGGGGTTTGGGATTCGCAGGGTACAGATGGGGAGGTGGAAGGGGAAAAAGCAGAGGGCAGGAAAACAAGATATCGCTGTAGTCAGAAGATGAATGGGGGAAAGAAACCTAGTAACGCCAGTGGGAAGGAAAATCAGAGGGCAGGGGTGAAAATAGGGAGGAGGAGGAGGAGGAGGAGG